CCCTAAAGGGATATGGGATATGGGATATGGGATATGGGATATGGGATATGGGATATGGGATATGGGATACGGACACGAGCTGCTGATCAGCACCCTAATGACCAACGGGGCCGACACCGCCCGGTACCGACCCTAAAGGGATATGGGATTGGGATATGGGATATGGGATATGGGGTCAGGATTGGGATATGGGATATGGGGTATGGGATATGGGATATGGGATATGGGATATGGGATATGGGATATGGGATATGGGATATGGGATTGGACACAAGCTGCTGATCAGCACCCTAATGACCAACGGGGCCGACACCGCCCGGTACCGACCCTAAAGGGATATGGGATTGGGGTATGGGATATGGGATATGGGATTGAGATGTGGGATTGGGATGTGGGGTTGGGATGCAGCTGTGGGATCGGCTGTGAGATCAGGGTATGGGATTGGCTGTGGGATTGGGATGTGTCTGTGGGTCCAGCCCCTCCTCCCGGCCCCCTGACCCCGTTCCCAATCCCAATCCCAATCCTGTTCCCGTTCCCAGGCGCGGTATCCACGACATGTTCCCGCTGCACCTCGCCGTGCTCTTCGGCTTCTCCGACTGCTGCCGCAAACTGCTGTCCTCAGGTGACAACGGGGACACTTTGGGGACTCTGAGGGGACACTTGGGGACCTCGGGACAACCTTTGGGGACAGTGGGATGACCTTTTGGGGACCCCAGGGTGACCCTTGAGGACACTGGGTGACCCTTGGGGACACTGGGGTGACCCACTGGGGATAAAGGTGACACCTGGGGACATAGGGGTGACCCTTGGAGACATTGGGATGACCCTTGGGGACATTGGGGTGACTTTTGGGGACACCGGGATGACCCTTGGGGACACTGGGTGACCCTTGGGGACACTGGGGTGACCCATTGAGAATAAAGGTGACACCTGGGGACATTTGGGTGACCTTTGGGGGCATTGAGGTAACACTTGGGGACATTGGGGTGACCCTTGGGGACACTGGGATGACTCCTGAGGACACTGAGGTGACCCCTGGGGACAAGGGTGACCCTTGGGGACACTGGGTGACCCCTGGGGACATTGGGATGACCTTTGGGGACATTGGGGTGACCTTTGGGGACACCGGGGTGACCCTTGGGTGACCTCTGGGGACAAGGGTGAGCCTTGGGGACATTTTGGTGACCCCTGGGGACATTGGGGTGACCTTTGGGGACACCGGGGTGACCTTTGGGGACACTGGGATGACCCGTTGGGTATAAATGTGACCTTTGGGGACACCGGGGTGACCTTTGGGGACACTGGGGTGACCCTTGGGTGGCCCTGGGGACACTGAGGTGACAATGCCACCCCCAGGCCAGCTGTACAGCATCGTGTCCTCGCTGAGCAACGAGCACGTGCTGTCGGCCGGCTTCGACATCAACACCCCGGACGGGCTGGGCCGGACCTGCCTGCACGCGGCGGCGTCTGGAGGGTCAGTGGGGTCGGGATTGGGGTCAGGGTTTGGGATTGGGATCAGGGTTTGGGGTTTGGGATCAAGGATTGGGATATGGGATTGGGATCTGGGATTGGGGTTTGGGATCGGGGCTTTGACATCAACACCCCTGGGCCGGACCTGCCTGCACGCGGCGGCCTCCGGAGGGTCAGTGGGGTTGGGATTGGGGTCAGTGGGGTCGGGATCAGGGTTTGGGATCGGGGTTTGGGGTCAGGATTGGGATATGGGGTCAGGGTTTGAGGTTTGGGATCAGGGCTTTGACATCAACACCCCTGGGCCGGACCTGCCTGCACGCGGCGGCCTCTGGAGGGTCAGTGGGGTTTGGGGTTTGGGGTCAGGGTTTGGGATTGGGGTCAGGGTTTGGGGTCAGGATGGGGATATGGGATCAGGATTGGGATATGGGATTGGGATCAGGGATCGGGGTTTGGGATCGGGGCTTTGATATCAACACCCCTGGGCCAGACCTGCCTGCACGCGGCGGCCTCTGGAGGGTCAGTGGGGTTTGGGATTGGGATTGGGGTCAGGATTTGGGATTGGGGTCAGGGATCGGGGTTTGGGATCGGGGCTTTGACATCAACACCCCTGGGCCGGACCTGCCTGCACGCCACCACCTCCGGAGGGTCAGTGGGGTTTGGGGTTTGGGGTTTGGGGTCAGTGGAGTCAGGGATTGGGATTGGGGTTTGGGATCAGAGTTTGGGCTCAGGATCAGGTTTTAGGATTGGGATGGGGGTTTGGGATCAGGATCAGGGCTTGGGATCCGGATCAGGGTCAGGGTTGGGTTGGGATCAGG